AACAGGTTGAACAGCAAACCCCAGGCTCCTGGCTCTGAGTGGCCGGGGAGAGGGGGAGACGGCCACCCGCGAGGTGGGTGGCACGGAGGAAGCATGCCCACCCACTCCACTGTGTCCCCAGCCCGGGGCCCTAGCCGCGGCAGAAGACCCGCTGCTGTGTCAGTGGGGATCCTGACCACAACACACTGACCTTGGCTCTGGCAGTGTTGCAGCCGGACTCGGGGCAGCTACCCCAGGGCTACTTCCTTTCTCCCTCTCTAGAGGCTCCTGGATCCAGACGGCATCCTCCATGGGGTCACACACCATGGACTCCTCGGGATAGCTGGCGAGTGGTAGGCTTGGTAGCTCCTCGGGGTAACTGGCACATGATAGGCCTGGCACTCCCTTGGGGTAATGGGCGAGTGGTAGGTTTGGCAGCATCTCTGGGCTCGGTCTACCATCAGGCGTTGGCTGGTCTGGCCAGTCCTCGGGTCGGCCGCCGATCTCCTTGGTCTCCCCACCGGGAGCTACGCCACAAGTGTCTAGTCACTCCGGTGGCTGAGAGTCAAGTGAGCTCTGGGGTCGGGCTTTTATACTTCCTGTCCTTCGCCCTGACCTCTGAGGGGCAGGCGTAGGGTTTCCTGGCTCCGCCCACTTTGGTGTCCACAGAGGGTCATCCGCCTCTGGGGCGGCAGGGAGCCAGACCACCTCGCTACAGGGACAAATAAAATAATAATACTTGGTCAGTCATTGTGCTATGAGAATAATAATAAATAATAATAATACTAGATAAATAGATAGATATAAATTAAATATTCCCTGTCATACTGTTTAAAGATGAATCTATAGTACTATAGTAAATGAAGCAATGAATTCTCACTACTGTGGCTCTTTTGGGTAATGTTGATCATTAATTTGGCTCCTGACGCACTGAAGTCTGCGTGTCGCTGGTTTAAAATGTTGAGCCTGATTCTGCCCTGCTTTGCCTCTTGCAATGTCAATATTTTTTCATCAAGATGCAATTTTCGCCAAAAAAACAACCTTTTTTCTAAAGCAAAAATTTTGCAGGGGAAATTTTCATTTTTGACAGTGTTCCTTTTTTGATGCAAAACCAGAAACTGTTTTTTAAGCTGAAATTTTTTTAAACCTAAAAATTGTAACTTTAAACAGCTTTCAAGCACCCCCAACATTTTCAGGTTTGGGGTTTCAGTATTTTATTTTAAAAATTCAGAGAAAAATGTTGACAAAGTTTAATTTTTGACATTTCTCTGAAAAAAATAGCAAATTTTCCAAGCAGCTGCCTCATTTCCCCAGTGCAAGGGGAGTGTTAAGCTTTACCATTGTGATTTGCAAAGGAGACAGAGCTGCAATGCTGCTCCCTCTGGAACTGCGTAGCCACTGTGTGTAGATTTGGGTCCTTTCTACCCCAGCCACTTTGGAGCCAGCATGGCATCTTCCCTCCATCTCAAGGGGCAGAGCCTCTCATGGCAAATCCACTCCACTGCTCCCTATCTCCCACAGAGAGCCCTCGAGCGGCCCAGATGGCCTTGTACAGACTTTCCAGGCTGAGGTGACTTCACCCCTTTCTCCCTAAGTTCTCCCTCACTCTCTTTTCACTATCATTGCAGATTTCTCAAGGTGGAGAATTAAACAAGTTGCTGTTTTGGGCAAAAAAGTACCCCATGCCTACCCCAAATGGATTGGAGGTTTCATGGCTGCCTTAACAGTCAACCACCCTGATTATGCCAACACTGTGTTTGGCCATGGAGGTACGGTCATTGGCGCTTAGTTCAGAAAGGTTCGCACTTGATGCCCTCTCCCACTGCAAAGGCCAAGTGTTATTTCCACAGAGAACCATTCAGACTCTTCTTCCAGCTTGTCTCTTCTGTCGATTATTGCAATTCCCTCCTTTATACCCTTCCCAAATGCGTAGCTCTTCACCGTTAAATTGGGGCACTTTCTATACTCACCCACAATGGGAAATGGGAACCAAACATCTGCATCCTCAGAAATGTGTCTGTCTTAGGGTTTCCTAGAGCACCCACCACCATAGTATCTAAGTTGTTCCCAGGAAAAGCAGCACAGAACATTTCCTACATGACATCCCAGAGTCTTCCGTTGTTCTCCCTTTCTAGTGTAGGAAGCTCTAATTATTATAATTACTGTTGTGGTAGTACCTAGGGATTATGACTAAATCGGGGCCACATTGTTCTAGGACTAGATGCTGTACAAACACAGAACAAATGACAGATGGGGTCACTGCTCCAGATAGCCCCAAAGTGGCCATGAGAAGGACGATGCCCATAAAGGCACCACAGACAATGAAGGGGGATCCATGCAAGTATAGAATGAATCCTCATACCTTAGGGGCGCTGGCTGTTACAGTGAGAATAGCTCTTTAAGTAGTGCCGCCCCGCCCCACTTCACAGCCCCCTCAGCCCAGCTCCAGCCTCTCAGTGCCACCCCCCATTCATAGCCCCCCTCAGCCTAGCTCCAGCCCCTCAGTGCTGCCCCCCCACTGCACACCCCCCCTCAGCCTAGCTTCCCAGCAACAGCAGGGACGAGGGATGATGGGGAGCCACCGGAGGTGAGGCCCCCCCCCAAAATTTCTTCCACCCTGGCTCCTGCTCACAACAGACCCCTGCCCACAGCCAAAGCCTGCCCCTTGGAGGGGATGCCCTGGACAGGAGGTAGGGGAGATGCACTCCCACCCTGGATAACCGCTGCCCAGAAGGAGGTTGCCCTAGTCACCATGTGGGGAAGGGAAACCCTGCTCTACTGAGAGATCCCCCCATCTCCACTTCCCACATCCAGTGACACGATGGGGGATCTCCCAGGTAAGGGACACAAACAGAGGAGAGCGATCCCTTGGTCCCAGACATGGAGTAAATGGTGTACCCTGGTCAGTGGGAGATGCTAATCCTCCTTCTGCCTACACACACACACGCCCTCATCCTCCCAACAGACATATTATTTAAACAAGAACAATAAATAAGTAGTAACAACAATGCACTGGATATATGGTTTTAGGATAAATATTTATTTCAATGCCCCATCCCACAAAAAAAATATTGACTGCCGTGGTGAGGTACATTCAAAACACTAAAGTGAGTTGAATTTATTATTATTATTAACTAGCTAGCTAGGTTACTGGGTTTTTTCAGTGTGGACAATTGTGCGTTATTTTACAGGTTGAATGATGACTGAATGACATAACCTCCACCCCCAACCCCCGCCAACGTCCGTCACTCAGTCCGGTAATTTTGTCAAGTGTCCGTCGTGCAACATGGTGGTGCCTACCCCTGGATGCAAGTCAGTGCGGAATGGGGCCCAATTGTACCCTCAGTTACAGAGGAGATGGGGGACCATCTAACTAGCCGAGGGAAGAAATGGACCTTGCTGTGTGAACACACTTGCCAAACCCAGCAGTAGCTTTGTCACTAAATGTCTTTAGAGTACAAGTGATCTTTTCTTCCAGGTGTTTGACCCCCGAAGATTTTCACAAGACAACTTGTCTGATCAGCATTCCTTCGCCTTTATGCCCTTTGCTGCTGAACCACGGTGACGTATTAATTAATTAATTGCGTGAAACCTACAACCAGAAAACTGGAAACTACAAAGAGCGGAGAGAAAATTACCTCGTGTACCTCTAATTGTTCTCAGAAGCGATGATTATCATAGATTGTCCTTTAGTGCTTGATCCCAAGTCCATTGACTATAAATATATTATTTTTATTACAGTAGTACCTAGAGGCACTAACCAATATTACAGGGCCCCGCTGTGCCAGGACCTGTACATACACATAGGAAGAGACAGAGTAACCACTGATGAGAGTGTTTAGACATTCCCCTCTCTGCCCAATCCGCAGAAGCTACTCGTCTGTTATGATTCCACTTTGAGAGCCCAGATATTTATCTCAAGCTGTATGTGTTCATGCTTTTAGCTCTGGAGGTCCCTGAGTCAGTCCTCGATGTGTCAGTCAAGGTGGCGGTCATCAAAGTAAACCCTGCCTGGAAGAGCTCACAATCAAAATAGTTAAAGGCTTGGAGGGGAAACTGAGGTACAGAACAGGGACGTGACTCAGTGGCAGAGTCAGTAATGGAACCCAGACTCCCCTTCACTCCCTGTCCACTAGAGCAGGTACCTCTCTTTACACTCCGGTGGGTTTGAGTCAGACCATTAATGACTTAGCCCATAAATCTCCCGTACAGACTAAGTGTTTTTCCTTCTCTTCTCAGGAACTGCATCGGGCAGCAGTTTGCCATGACTGAGTTGAAAGTGGCTCTTGCCCTAACCCTCCTCCACTTCGAACTCTCACCTGACCTGACTACACCTCCTAATGAAGTAACTGAGCTTATCCTGCGCTCCAGGACTGGAATACATAGATTCATAGATTCTAGGACTGGAAGGGACCTCGAGAGGTCATTGAGTCCAGTCCCCTGCCCGCATGGCAGGACCAAATACTGTCTAGACCATCCCTGATAGACATTTATCTAACCTACTCTTAAATATCTCCAGAGATGGAGATTCCACAACCTTCCTAGGCAATTTATTCCAATTTATTACACTTGCATTTAAAGAAACTTTCCTAATATCTTTGATATTTCATTCTGAAACGATCTTTGCTATTTTTTTTCAGCAAAGCTTGCAAGTCACAAGACTTTCTTAGTAGATTTGCACATCTTAAATCTGAGGAACAGTAAATTACCGTACTAGTGTGTGGGGGAGAATGAAGGGTGAGGCTGGGTGGAGACATTCTTATGGGGCCTGATCTTCAGCCACTGCAAAGTGACATAGCTTCATTGACTTGGAGTTATGCCAATATACACCAGCTGAGAATTTGGTCAATGATGTTTATAGATAGGCCATATACAGGAACACAAAGGAAACTACAACAGGAAATCACTGGTTTTAAAATCCAGTAGAGTGAGGGCATCATTATATTCTGTATAGAGAAACTTCTCTCTCTTTTGGCTTTCCAATCCCCTTTATCTATGCCTTCCGACCCACCTTACAAAGCAACGAGGATCTTATTATTATGTCTGCCAGAGTAGCAGGGGGAAGTATTTTCCTCTCCACACTAGGAAGTGAGCTTCCCATTTATCTTTGGGCCAAGATGGAAAAAGTGTTGGGAGCAAAATTGTCCTGTTAAATGCAATCTGATTGAATCAATGGTCAAAGCCAGATTTTGATCTCACTTACCCAGTTGTAAATCACTGCATAATTCCATTGATCTCAGCGGCGTTGCCCTAGATTTGCAAGAGAGAACAGGGTTTGTGCGTTATAAAAGTTGCTCGTGGAGATCCATATTTACTAAATCGGGTGCAGTTTTCTCAGGAATGGATCTGGCAATGCCTTCTGTAGTTGAATCCCTTAATAAAGAGTTGTGGTGTTTTTTGAATACTCAATTACTTGTCCAGGTTTTGTTGAGAGCATTTCAATAAACACATTCATAATCTTCAACTACTCGGTGACATATTCTGGAGTGTAAAATGCTGAGATGTTTGCTGTTCCCAGGGGCTACCCATGGGGAGACAACTTGATTCAGGACAGTAGATTTTTCTGGAAGCAAAACCCTGCGTTGTTAGGGGAGCAGGACAAGAAAGTAACATCAATGATCAGAACCGAAGTTCAGAAACAACATTATCAACATCTAGTCTGAAGGCTGTGTGTCAGGTATGGCTAGGGTGACCAGACAGCAAGTGTGAAAAATCAGGACGGGAGTGGGGGGTAATAGGAGCCTATATAAGAAAAAGACCCAAAAATCGGGACTGTCCCTATAAAATCGGGACATCTGGTCACCCTAGGTATGGCCATCTGTGTGGGTTGAGTCAGCAATGAGTGTCCTAAGCAAGCAGTAAATGAATTTAATGATGGGTGAGAGAGTGACATTACACTCTATGTGATTTTATGAAAATATGCTAATGAGTTTGAATATAATGTAACTGAAATATGCTTCACACAAAGTATCAAAGGGGTAGCCGTGTTATTCTGGATCTGTAAAAAGCAACAAAGAGTCCGGTGGCACCTTATAGACTAACAGATGTATTGGAGCATGAGCTTTCGTGGGTGAAGACCCACTTCGTCAGACGCATATAATGGAAATTTCCAGAGGCAGGTATAAATATGCAGGCCAGAATCAGTCTGGAGATAACGAGGTTAGTTCAGTCAGGGAGGATGAGGCCCTCTTCTAG